AAACAATTTATTTTATTAAAAATAGAAAAGATTATATTTCTTTTTATATTATTAATAAAACGCTTCTTATTATATTAATTATTATAATTAAAAATAAAATATAATCTATTTTAAAATAACTTAAAATTAAATATAATAAAGTACTTATTTCCAAAAAATGTATTAGTATGAGAATTATCAAAACTCAAATAATAATAATATACTATTTTTAATTTTATAAAAATGATTAATAATGCTTTAATCTTAGTTTTATATAAAATTATTTTTATTTATATTATTCTCTTTTTTTTATATGAAATCAAAATGTAATTAAATATTAAGATATAATTATTTTGTATCTAGAATTTTATTTCTAACTTTATTATTTCTTTTAAATAGATCAAAATATCAATCTGTTTAAATAAATACTTATTCTAATATTCAAAAATACATTCCTTATTTAAAAAGTTATTCTAATAATTTTTTTCAAAAAAATATAAATACTTTGTTTATTAATATTACATTAAATGAAACTCTACTTTATTTTATAATATATGTTTAATTAATAAACTCATTTTATCCTATAATTTATTGAATTATATCTCTATTATTATTAAAAATAGAAATACTAATTAATAATAAAAATCTAAAACCAAAAGCTAATATTTAAAAATGAATCTTTTTAGTATTATATATCCTTTATTATAGGTTTCATACTTCTTTTTAAAATATTTAATAAATCTAATAAAGAATATTAATAAAGAAATTATAGCTATTAGATTTAAAAATTAATAATCTCATTTTTCTTTTAATAAGATCTTAATCTTTTTAAATAATTTTAAATGAATTATTCAAAAAAAAGAACCTCATTGAAAATAAATATATAATATATAATATATCAAAACGAAAAGTAAATAATTATTCGTATAAGTTTGGTTGGTGATGTATTAATGATCTAATATTTATATAATAATATATCTAATTTCTTTTACTAGATTTTTTATATTTGTTAAAATATTATATAAATTTTTGATATTAGGATTTACTAATTCTTTAAATATGTGAATATTAAAAGAAATAAGATTATTAATAAATTTATTAATCTTAAAACCTCTAAATCTATTTCAATATTTATTATTACCTAATAGAGTGAAAATTGTTGTTAAAAAGCTCTATAATTGAATAAAACGATTTTAATAATTTTTTTTAAATATGTATAATAGATAAAACATTATTTATAAAATACAATTTCCTTCAGAATTAGATTTACTAAGAATAATATTATATTATATTCTAATTATGTATATAGAATATAGAGATTTAATATAATATTGTAAAAAGTTCTAGTATTAAAATACTAATTTAGAATATTTCTATAACTATCAAAAGATTTTTAAATATCTAATACGAGCTTGCGTAGCTTTTTTATAAAAATCAAAATCAAAATAATGATAATAATAATACTAACAATAATACTAATAATAATACTAACAATAATACTGATAATAATACTAATAATAATAATAATACTAATAATAATACTAATAATAATACTAATAATAATACTAACAATAATACTGATAATAATACTAATAATAATTTTACTCATAATTTTACTCATAATTTTACTCATAATTTTACTCATAATTTTACTCATAATTTTACTCATAATTTTACTCATAATTTTACTTATAATTTTACTCATAATTTTACTCATAATTTTACTCATAATTTTACTCATAATTTTACTTACAATTTTACTCATAATTTTACTCTTATATAATATAATATATATAGGGGCTAGTACTCAAGCCCTTGATTACTCACTATACTCGAGTTCAACTTTATATATTAAGTCTATAAATTAAATTCATATTAGCTTTCGATTAGATTTCTTAGATTCCTTAGATTTTTTAGATTTTTCAGATTTTTAAGATTTTTTAGATTTTTTAGATTTTTTAGATTTTTAGATTTTTTAGATTTTTTAGATTTTTTAGATTTTTAGATTTTTTAGATTTTTTAGATTTTTTAGATTTTTTAGATTTCTTAAATTTTTTAAATTTCTTAAATTTTTTATATTTAAAAATATTTTTAATATTCTTATGTAAATTAAAAACAAAAAATTAATAAAATTATTTTATTATTATTATTATTAAAAATAAATCTTAAACTTATATTTATTTAATAAAAATTAATAATAATATTAAGATTTTTTAAAAACCTTTTATTATTATAAAATCTTAAATTTCTTTTTTTTTAAAAAAATTAAAATTTTCTAAAATTTTAGAAAGTTTTAGATTTTTTTAAATATCTTTTTTAAAAAATTTACATTCTTTAAAATTTTAAATGTTTCTTAAAAATTTTAAATTTTTCAAATATTCTATTTTTTTATATTTCTCAAATCTTTTTCAAATTTTTTTTAAATCTTTCTTAGATTTTTCTTAGATTTTTTTTTAGATTTTTTTTACATTTTTCTTCAATTTTTTTTAGATTTTTTTTAGATTTTATTTTAGATTTTATTTCAGATTTTATTATTATTTTATTATATTTTCAAACTTTGATTTTTTAATAAATAATAAATCAACAAATGAAAGCCTCTATTATTTGATTATATCTCTATTTCATTTCTTAAGAACCTTTAACTATCTAAATAATCTTCAAAAGCTATACAACATAATTTTAATTGAACTAAAAATAAGCTTTTTATTATATATAGATACATATGTATGTGTTTAATTAAACATTCCTATTTTCATATTTACTGATTTATTAGTAACTACTTTTAACTTTATATCTCAATGGTCTCAATTATAGAAATTTTCTAGAGATAATAATCAAAATTCATAAAATAGATTTATTAATATATATTCCATTCAATATTAGTAATTTATTTTATTAATTATACTATTAATATTTATTTCATCAAGATTGATTCATGATAATAGTTATTTGTAAAAGTTCATTAATGTTTATAATAGAAACAAAATAATAGAAATCGTTCTATTAGAGATAATATTTATAAAGATTTTTAACACTTTAATGATTACTAATATAATAGTATTATGTATAATTACGAAAACCGTTCACACAATAGCAAAAACAATTGATTTAAAAAGTATAGATAAAGATCCTTTATAGATAGAAGTTTACATTTATTGATTGAACTCAAAGTAGACGATTGAATTGATTGATAGAGTGTTCCTTCCCTTGGTATCTAGCTGCGAGAGCCTCTTATGGATACTTTGCTAATTACTTCGAGAGTCTTATCAGACACCTTTCTTTGATTTGTCCTCATACCAATTGTTCATCTTTCTTCTAAGATTTCTCAACTGGAGGTTTGAGCATCTCTGGATTTGATTTTTACCTTGGCCGTAGCAGCATATGTCTTGTGAAAACTTCAATTCTAGGCCTGTCTCATCGACGCGGGGATAGTTGATGAGCTACCCGGAACCAGTAATTTAATTGAGCTTTGTTGAACGGATTCCTGCATTAGGTTTGTGGGCACAGTTGCTGTCAATCTGCAAGGTCCATGAATTGCGCGCTGTTTGACATCTATTATCACGCATTCATGGAATTCATAGCTGTCATCATTATGATGACAAATTAACGAAGACCTCAGAAATTGCTTCGAGGCAAGCTAAGTATTCAAAGAAAAAATGGCTGGGTATAGTTTTAGAGAGTTTCATTAACAATGTGTACATTTCAATTTGCTAAGGAATGTGTTGCCATCAATATGTTATAGATATAGCTTTAAGGTTGTACAACACGCTTTCGAAATCCAAAAATGTATTTGGGATAGGTCGAGCAAATCAAAAGTTCTCGTAATGGTTCAAATGTTCAGAATTCTGTTGTCAGTGAGCAGCTTGAGAGCCCCATTTCTGCTCCAGCTCAAGCAATGACTTCACTGAGCCAACAATGGATTCTTCCAAATTTTTGAAGTTCCAATCTTGGCCTTTGACCTGTCGAATTATCTCTAAACTCCTGGCGTTGTTCAATTGGGTGGGGCGCAGGCCTTTTGGGAAAACTTCCTTTTCATCACCGCCTTTCGGTAACCTTCCTTCCAGTTCCGGGAAATTCTTCCGAATAACATTCACAACCAACTGGGGCGAGAGAGGACCCGAGGAGATAATGTGACGTTTATTAGCCATACGAGGGGAGGTGAGTGCGATGACATGTAAAAGAGCCACATCGCGAACATCAACCTTTGCATTTATTAGTTTGATGAACAGCAAGAGGAAGCAGTATGTATAGCCGAGGAAGAAAGAACTTACAAAATCCCAAAAGCCAAACATGGCATCACCAACGGTCTCATGGGTGCCATTAATGAAAGCATAGCAAGCGAACTCGTTCGTTTCGTTGACATTTTTCGGACTGGGGACAGGCTGGAGTATGGGGCCGAGGACTACATCAGGATTGATCACAACAAGTTCAAAAGCCGGTTTCTTTTCTTTCATGAAGCACCACTGCCATAAAACGTGTTAGCAACGTTAAAGAAGGATCACCGAGTCAATGTGAAAATGTGTGTTCTAGCCTGGCGGTGGAAAGGGGGCTTGCTTACAGCCGCTAGTTCGGCATTTTTTTTGCCAACATTGTATCCGATGAGAGGGCTTTGAGACGATACTGCATCATTCTCAGTCGCCTGAAAGTAATATTAGCCACGATGCTATATTGTGAGAGCAAGAAATCTGACAGGGTTCCAATCATCTTCGGTATAAGGTCTCCCTTCAGGAGCATTCAAATCTTCGAATGAATCAAGAACGGACACAGCACTACCAAGTAAAACAAAACGCTTCACCTGCTTGCCTCCTAGTTCGTGAGCAGCTTTGAGAATTTCGGTAGTGCTTTCGTGAATGTTAGAGATTGACCATAAGAGTGTGCAGGCTTGTTTAATTACCCGTGAACAGCCGGGTCGATCAGGTCTTTCTTCACGTCCTTCACAGCAAATGTTACTGGAGACGCGGTATGAATGATGTAATCAAAGCCGCCTTTTTTAGCTTGATCTTTGAGAACATGGTCAAAAGCTCCAGGTGTTGTGATTTCAGGCACAAATACAAACTTGACCTTTCCCACCCATTCTGGATGAAGTTCGAGAATTTGATTGGCTTTCGTAGGGGACCGGACACTGGCAACAGGTTTGTACCCATTCTGTGAACTCCGTTAGATACCCTTCGAATTACATAATAACAAATGGAAGCATACCTCAATCAGAAGGGAAAGGATGTGAGAAGCTATGAAGCCACTGCCTCCAGTCAAGAAGACGGATTTTCCTTCAGTAGACATGATGTATATTGTAGTTCGATTTGATGTTTAGAAGTTTGAGAACTGAAACGGAGGGATGAGGACAAGATATACTTTAATCATGCAGAGCTGATAGCCTTTACCTTTCTTAAGTTTAATGTTGCTTTGTCACAAAATTGAGCATTGGGATGTTTACTAATCGCGTTTTGCAGAAATGTCCATCTCCAGGAATGTCGATGTAAGCTTTGCACATAGGGAGGCTTTGTCACCTATCCAATGATCAATACTACTACCCCAGCTTGGTAGTATCGACCACCTGAAAACGACAGATAAATGCTGGAACCGGAAATGATAGCAAATCAAATCGCCGAAAAAGCCAATCATAACGATTGAGGCGTCATAATAATACATGGATGATAATGCATCAAGATACCAAGGACACGAATGACAAGGAGCTATGGATCACTCATCATTTCGCCGATAAGAATTTTGAAAATTTCACCATGTCTCGAGAATTGATCGCTTATCATTGAAGCCGAATATATGTACACCTCACAACTTGTGAAATAGCTCCTCATGTTGATGATTTATTCACGAGGTAGTTGACGGAAAAACATCATGTAGTTGCCTTGCATTCCAGCTTGCATCAGCAGTCATCTGGTCGATTGGTTCTGCAAAGTATAGATTGTAGAATTTGAATGACCTTCAGACATTGGAATCCCTTCTGATGTTGAAATATGTTTAGACATTGAAATGTATTCCAATATCAGATAAGTTTCAATATGATTCTATTGAAATAATGGCTTTGTAAATCTACAATAAAATCATAAGTATTTTGATGGAAACCGAAGTTTGATACCGATAGCCATGTCAAGTGAACTCTTGCATCTTCTCTCCCTTCTACAGAAGGAATATTTTGCATTGTGAGGCGAAAGAGAGCTGTATGTTATTTCAACTCCTTCTTTCATTCTCTCTTATATCTTGACTGAACTACAAGGTCATCCCTTGAATCTTCATCACATCTTGGCACGAATACTTGTTTGAAGGGCTCGCCGTCGTCGCTTTACTTGACTTCCTGCCCACTTGCAAATCAATAAACGATGGGATGAGTCAGGTCTATATCATTTTCACGACGGCATTCGTGGGTTTCACTAGAAACAACACAAGAGTCTGACATGATGAAACACCTTGGAGAAATAAGAAATCAGTTCGCATTTGCGATATTGACTTCTCCCACGTCGCAAGAAGATGAAGATCTGGATTCGAAGATGTGGTTCTATGCATTGAACCACTCCATAGAAATAAATAACACTAAAACAGAAAAGGCAAAGTAACCAGCAATCTGTACGTACTCAGGGACTGGAACCATGGGAACGATGGATCTTATGGAGCTTTCTAGATTGAATCCACATCATCGTCTGCACGAAATAATATATCTTCATTGAGATCCTCTCGAGATCCTTCAGTCCTTCGATGTGATTGCCCAAGTTTCACACTGCCGCGACTTTGAATCCTCCTTGACCGCCGTTCTCACCTCGCACGGAAACTTCCAACACTCAACCCCCGCTTTCCCTTTGCCCCACCAATTCCACCCAACACCCAAACATCCGACTCCATCTATTCGATTCATGCCACGAGTTTCATAGAAAGGGTTCCTCTTAAAGCTCTCACATATCTGTTCTTCTCCTGAAAGCTCTCATTCACAATTTCTCATTATCAATCTTTCTCAATTTTTGAACATCTCCGATTTGCATCTCTACACTCGTCTTCTCCAATCAATCAAATCACATAAACTCATTCAAAAATGGCAACCGTTAAGACAATTCCCCCTGGACAAACCTTCATCGATACTCTCGATAAATCATTCGTCGATGTCCCCGTCAACAAGGAGAAGGACAATGCGATTGCAACCACAGAGTTTCTTCAAGCTGCCGAATCCCTCACCACTCTTTTCGGTATGGGCCCCTTCCTGTCTCTCCTTGAGAAGTAACGAGTTAATGAATTGTAGATGTTATGGGATCTGTAGCATTCAACCCAGTCAAGAATGATATGGCTGGTAACATCAAGGTACGATTGGCTCCTGCCGATTGAATACAAATATGCTAACAATTTGGCAGAAAATCCGCGAGAGACAACTTGCTGCACCAGCAGAGTCAGAGACTCTTCAAGAATTGGTCGTCAATGAGCTCAAGACAAAGAAGCACACCGCTACTGAAGGTTTAGTTTGGTTGGTTCGGTATGTCATTTTCATACAATTCTATAAACTATTCTTGCCATCATTATCTGCCGACGTGATGGCATACATTGGCACAATGCTCCCAACCCCTCTATCCATTCTTGCAAACTTAGAAATTCGAAGCTAACAGCCCGCCCCCACAGTGGTCTAGACTTCACCTGCATTGCTCTCTCACAAAACCTTGCCGCCCCCGCGGACGAACTCTCCGTATCCTTCCGTGCTGCCTACGGCGAGACACTAAAACCCCACCACTCCTTCATGGTGAAGCCCATATTCAGCGCCGCCATGTCTGCCTGCCCATACAGAAAAGATTTCTACGTTAAGCTTGGAGATGACAACTCCAAGGTTGAGGCTGCTTTAAGAGTGTGGTTGAGTGCATTGGAGAACCTGATCGCCATCTTGAAGGGATTTTTGGACAGAAAGGAGGCTAAGTGGTAGATTTGGGGGGAGACACTAGAGATGGGAAGGCCATCAATTCTGGCATGAGTGAGCGAGCAAGCGATTAATTTTGAACGACTTGATATGATGAAGCGTTATGTTTTGGGAGAATAGCAAATCAACAGGAGCAGAATATGAACTACGTATGCATGATGATAAAAAAGTAAAATGTAACCCAGCAAGCTTTTATTTCCTAGGTGAATGCTAATCGGCATTGACTTTACTAATCCCTATACTGTCAACACATGCCATTTCCCGATTATTGCGTATAAGCCTGGCACATCTTCAAATGACCTGTAAGTCCTATCGACCCTTTACCTGTCCTATTTGCAAACTTCGAAGTTTCGTCGCCATTCCACACTTCCAAGGTGATGACTAATTATTTTGAACACTGGTCCAGTATCCTGCCACGATATTGATGTTTCTTATGATCAAACAACATTTGAGGAATATCGAGGTGCAAGACACTTGGTCGGCCGAAAAACCACCAAGCATTGTACGCTCGTTACTCTCCATCATAAGATCGAGGTATTTTGCTGAAGCAAAAGCTTGACCATTGAGCTTGATCCACCAACCCTCCCTATCTCCCTCTTCCGAGTATTCTTCTGCGTGCAGCTCTCAGTAATTGTATAGCTCCTACATAGGAGTAAACGAAGTCTTGTTTCAGACCCACGTAGAACCTATCTCTCTTAACTTTGCACATCGTTAATTCCGGCCTCCTATTATCCTCCCCTTGTTCTTCTTGAATGTCTTCCTCATCATCGTCCACCTCAGTGACGGTAACGCTCGCCGCTAGGTTTGTTGTTGAACTCGCTCCAGTATTACTGTCAATGCCGAAATCCTTTTCAAAATATACGCCAATCTCATCACTTCCTTCCACGTCATCTAAACCTACAGTAACTAGCTCCGTCGCATGTCCTGGCCTTAAACTCGCCCTTAATCTTCTTCTGGCACTATTTCTACTGTCAACCGCAATACTCAAATTCTCTAAATCTGGGAATAATTCTCGGATCCTATGTTGTGGTGTGGGTAGGTCGCTCGCAACCACTGCCACAAATCGCATGTGTAAACTATCCAATGCTACATTCTTCCATTTTTTCATCGGCGCTATTGATTTTGGTGTTTCGTCAAGCAAAAACCACCTCACATCGAGAAATATTGATGCCACACAATTGAGGAATAGGGTATCAATGGCAGGGTTGAAGTAAAACGGTGTGATCCCAGCAACAGCCTCGCGGGGCTCCGTCACCGGCGGTGGATCGTATGCCATTAGACAGTAATGTTTTAAAGCCACTTCTCTTGATTCATGACTTGCATGCAAAAGTGTAGGAATTCGTCGCCTGTTTGATCGAAGTTTGGTTTTGAAGTTATAAGGTGAGCTGGTCGGACAGCTGGGGTATAATTCGTGAACGAGAGGATCGGGTAATGCATATTCCCAAACAATTAGTCGTAGTTCAGTGGGTAGATCAGGGAAGTGGGTGAATCGTTGAGTGAATTTTGCTGTAATAACGCTAGATAATTGACTTAACGCCCTCTTTTTCATTTTGGGAGGAGAGATGAAAGAGATTGAGGGGTGGTTGGGCGATGTATTGTCGCCATCGTCTGCTCTTGCTGAATGCGAAATGCTATTCTTGAATCTCGTGGTTATCGTGGTTGTCATGATTGTGGATTCAGGCCTGGTCTAGAAGCGTAGATCCAATATGAGCAGACGTTTGTAATACAGTCAAGAGTAGACTATCGTACAGATATCGAGGAATGATGTAATTTTAAGGCTGAAATCAATGCCTCGGACGTCACCGTTTTAAGTGGTAATGTGATGGCGACTTTTCCAAGTATAAAGAACTGACCGATGAATGGGTGGGTGTAGTGAATCAGAAGAAAGGTGATAGATGAATGAATATCTATCAATCAATACTACAACAACATCGATTGGTATTCGGGAGAATCAAGTAACAGAAAAACATCGCAAGACTAATAAAAAGACAACAAACATGAGATTGAATTAAAACGAGTACTGCGCACAGAAGTGAAAGAAATGCTTTTTCCAGAAATTTGCTATCATCGATAATGATTTGGGTGGTTTGGAGAAGAGAGAAGGAAGCGGGGGAAAGGGAAAATAAGTGCACGCACGCTACGAGTATGGTAAGGTTACATACACAAATACAGTACGTACTAGTCTACTAGTCTACTAAATCACTACTGACTAATAATCCCAACGCTCAGCCTTGTCGTGTTTTTGAAATGTTTCAAATTAATAAAATCACAAGTTTCTTTGGCAACTACTTCATTTATGCTGATGGCCCGTTTCGTCTGTAAAACCTATGGAGTAGAACTACCAATTCAACCCTCTTCAACCCTCTTCAACCCT